GAAAGAAAGAAAGAAAGAAAGAAAGAAAGAAAGAAAGAAAGAAAGAAAGAAAGAAAGACCAGACCAGTGTCTAAAATTATCTACCTTTCTTCCCCCACCCAGATTTAATCAGGCACAGGAATCTGAATTTCTGGTGAGAAAACTTACAGCCCTGCTCATCAGCGCCCCAAGAAGACAGGTAACTGGTCAGAGAAACCTGTCCAGCGGGGTCAGCACCAGGTGTTTTTTTAAAACCTGTACAAATAGAAACTGTGTTGTTCATGCATAGTCGAGACAAGACCTGGTAAGGGCAGCGTGGGCACAGATGGCCACTGGATGGTTCTCTAAGTTCTGAGCTCTCCAGCTCCCTCAAAGTTGTTGTGCAGCTGAATTCAAGGTTTGGGGGCTCTTAGAGTGAAAAGGAGAGGAATGAAAATCTCATCAAGAATGGCGTTAACAGTTCTCCTCTGTGACATTTTACTGGCTCCCGTCCCCTCTTCTGGTCCCCTAATCACTGGAGCTCAAGTCCCTGGAAGCAGCAGCAACAGCTCAGGGATAGGGGTGGGTGGGAGGTGGCCTGAAGGGACTTCTTAATTCATATAAGGGGATGTTCCTGGAACACGGATGTGGGTGGCTGTTTTAAAACATAGTCCTTGCGATTGAGTTATCAATAGTACTGACCCCATGCCCAAGATATGCCGGACTTTTAAGATTTACAAGGAAAAGTTGAGACATCTTGGCTGTGACTAAGGTTACAACGCCCTTCCCTTCGTAAGCCTAGCCTGGCCCACAGCTATACACTGCCCAAGCCCGTGGAAGTGGGGCTCACAAATGAGCACACCCCTCCCCCCATAAGGAGAGCTGGTGAAAGAGTGTGGATGAATGAATACAAACACAACCTCTTAGAGGTCCATGAATGTGCCGAATTCATCTATGCAGACCCAGCACGTTACACAGTGCCTGGCAGATAGTAGGTGCTCAGAAATTTTTGACTTATTTGAATTAAATTGAATCCTTACTAGAAAAACAATGCAAAGTATGAAACCTATTGATGTTGGGCCTGGAGAATTCTCTTCATAAATAAAAAATTGCATATTACTTTGAAATGACAGCAAAATAAAAAATGCAACATATTTCTCAATGTTTTATTGGAACCCAGTTATCTTATTTAGTACAGAATCTGGCAGGGAAGCATTTTGGACAAGTTTCTATCATTGTTCTCATCAAGGATCACTGTTTATTGCCTGAATCAACCTGAAACCCAAACATTTCAAGTTTGGGGGAACAGCATATGCTCACCATGGCAGCTTTGTATTGAGATCATTCTCAATTGTTTTCTACAACCCATCTGTGACCCTAAACTTCTGCTTGCATCCATGTTAGGAAGCTGAGGGGTCCCATTTCACTCAGAGAGTGAAAGGGAAAAGGCGTTATTCTAAGCCCTGCAGCGAGAGGGTGGCATTTTTCTCAAGTAGTAAACTCAAGCAAAATCATTAGAAATGATAAACTATTTGGAAATGATCCGAACAGCATTTAGCAATGCATACAGGTCATTCACAAAGCAGCTGAAATGACTTTACAGTTGGTCTTTAGCTGGTGTAGGTTTTCCACAATCCTGGTCAGTTCAAGATGCCTGAACCCTATGTATAGCTGTTTGAGCAAAACTATTAGATGCTGGAGAAAAAAGTAAAAAATTCCCATCCTCCTATGTCTTTTGTTTTCCTTTTTTTTTTTTTTTTTTTTGCGGTACGCGGGCCTCTCACTGCTGTGGCCTCTCCCGTTGCGGAGCACAGGCTCCGGACGCGCAGGCTCAGCAGCCATGGCTCACGGGCCCAGCCGCTCTGCGGCATGTGGGATCTTCCCGGACCAGGGCTCGAGCCCGTGTCCCCTGCATCGGCAGGTGGACCCTCAACCACTGTGCCACCAGGGAAGCCCATGTTTTCCATTTTAATTGTCTTTGAAATCTCTTTACAACTTCTTGCTCTCATAAAACCCTTCCAGGATAACCTCATACCAAAGTTAGTAATGACAACAATTTGGGGAAATTCCATTTTTAGTTATGGGACAATGGAATAATATAGAGACTGGAAAATCAGACTTGGGCCACATTCTCCCTAATTTGTACATATTTACCTCCCCTTTAATCCTTCCTGCAAGAGTCCAGCTCTGGTATGGCCATTACTTGCTTCTCAACCTCTGATATGGTCCTTCATCCTATAGCTCATTGCTTGCCTCCTCTCTTCTGTCTCAACGTCCTTAAAGTGACAACTGGGTAATCTGACCTCTCTGGCATGCTCTTGGGACCATTTCTCAAAGACATCCCCCATGGCAACACTTCCACCCCCAGAAGCCAGTACTGGAGGACAAAATGTGTGACAGAAAATGACCAAGTGTTAGGTTTGGAGACAATGGATGAACTCTGATACAATCTAGAGACATGTTACCTGGCCTGTCCTAGGCCCAGTGAGCCTTTACTTCCCCACTATGGTATTAGCTTTCTTTTTATACTTTATGAGATACAATAACCTAGCAAATAAACTCAATGGTAGTCACTGGGTTCAAAAATGAGACCATCTTTTGAGTTGTCCTTTTAAGCCATTGGGTATTTGGAAATGGTTGTGGAATCCACAGTAACTGTCATTCCAGATTGTTATTCAGCTTGTTACTTGTGTTTTACAGAGTTGGAGAACTGATCTAACCTCAACTACTATTTCAATGACGTCCTCCTCGTAAAAAGATTAGTCAGGGAATATGAGTCTAAAAATCTGTCTAGAGCCATCTACACTGTTAACAATTAAAGAGGGACACCCTGTTTGTGGGGCCAGTGCTCTCACACTGCTAATCTCAGAGCTTTCGGAGGCTCAAGTCAGTATTACCTGGATTGTAGTTAGGTAGCTTGGAAACTCCAGGCCAGTTATCCTCTGTAGGGACTCCCAGCACCTATATAAAGCCAAAGAAAGACAAAGAAAGATGAGGGGGAGATGAGGTGGATGGAGCAGGTATGGAGACATGAAGGACACATCAGGGAGGAAGACGGAAGAAATGAATGTATGTCACATTATGCCAGCTGATGTGTTAAAGAAAGAAACTTCAGTGTTTCCAACATTTGCAGTTTCATGGGCAAAACTGCAGTGTATTTCTACGGTCCTACGTGTCAACATGACTGGGCTAAAGGATGCCCAAGATAGCCGGTAAAACATTATGTCTGGGGTGTCTGTGAGGGTGTTTCTGGAAGAGATTAGTAATTGAATCAGTAGACTGAATAAAGAGATTGGCCCTCACCAATGAGGGTGGCATCATCCAATTGGTAGAGGACCTGAATAGAACAAAAAGGTGGAGGAAGGGCAAATTTTCTCTCTTTCTTCTTGAGCTGGGACATCGTCTTCTCTTGCCTTTGGACATTGGAGCTCCTAGTTCTCTGGCCTTCAGATTCTGGGACTTAAACCAGTGGTCCCCTTAGACTGAATTATACCACCAGCTTTCCTGGTTCTCCAGCTTGCAGAGGACATATCTCAGCCTCCATGAAATCACATGAGCCAATTCCCATAATGAATCACAAGAGATACACACACATACGTACACACACACACATACACATACACACAAATACATACATATCTCCCATTGGTTTTGTTTCTCTGGAGATCTCTGACTAATACAGATCATATAACCTTGCTTAAAGTCATATTCTCATCCCAAAATATCTACAGACCTACATCGGGATATTATGGGTTTGGTACTACAAACAAAGTTAATATTGTAGTAAAGTGAGTCACACAAATTTTTGGTTTCCTGATGCATATAAAAGTTATGTTTACACTATACTATGGTCTATTAAGTGCATAACAGAGCAATGCACATACCTTAATTTAAAAAACCAATGTACATATCTTAATTTAAAAATGTTTCCTCACTAAAAATTGCTAACCATCATCTGACAGCGCAGGGTTGCCACAAACCTTCAGTTTGTTTAAAAAAAAAAAAAAAAAGCAATGTCTGCAAAGTGCTATAAAGTGAAGCACAATAAAACGAGCTATGTCTGCTGTACTGCATGATCACCATACATTAGGATGCTGCATTGGGAGTTAGGAATGGAAAAAGACAGGAGTGATAAAGTGTCCCTTTGCCTTACATCAGATGACTGTATTTATGTATATATGTCTCAACAGGAGACACTTGACAGTTTAAATTATGCCTCAGCATGGGCATTCAGCTGTTCCCCGATGTGCTCAAATTAAAAAGGATTCAGATTACTGACCTTTAAGCAGTGGAATGTTGGCTAAAAATGATCCCAAACCTAACTCTAGTCTTTTCTACCAAATTCATCTCATCTGCTTGTTTTCTCTGTGGCCCAGCAGCTTGGAATGTGGTATTTGGTTTTTAACTGCTGGATAGTAATATTAACAACACCACTTGAAAAAGAGCTCACGTGTGCTTTGGATTACCAAATTGAAGCTTTAGTTTTTAATTACTATGAAAAGTCTTTTGGAGTATAAAGACAAACACTTCAGATTTTAGATGGTGCTGTTACTGCGAGTTCCCTTGTAGGCAAAATCTTACCATTCTTTTAAGATAGTCATAAAAGCCCAATGTCAGTTATATCTAGGAGCCAGAATAATATTGTTTTTGTGAAATATTAATAAAACACTAGTAGTTTTCATACACCGCTACAATATAACTCTTTTTAGAAGCATATCTCAGTACAAGTCTTTATAGAAGCATCTCTCATAGAAAAAGCCTAGCGAATCCATTTGTAAAATGCTGGACACAGATGCTGGCCCAATTGTTATGGCAGGAAGTCAACTGCCCAACAATGACTGATAATAATCAATGAGGAATCCAGAAGCCTCTTAATATTTACCAGCTTGCTGACCAGGACTCTAGCCGAGAAGTACACTCTTTGGTGTTTGTTAAGCTTGTCCTCAAACAAAAGACACTGAAGCGCCATTTTCCCTCCCATAATAAAAAAATTAAGCCACCCAGTAGAAGCTTCTTTCTTTGATCCATTCCCTAAACAAACTGAAAAGCTACTGAGAGGATTACAGGCTTTTCCTAGCAGCCACCCTGAGCCGGAGGGAACACTAAGAATCCTGGAATCCATTTTGAAAAACCAACTGGACTAATTCTTCTTTTGTGGGAGAGGGCCAGAGGATGGGAAGCTAATTCTTCTTTGTTAACCTACCATCTTATGTATTTGCACAGATGTGCATGTAAACAAGTGGGTGGGATGATTCACATGTACCCCTACGTCTTCTGTTGCCTGGCAAAGCACAATGAAAGAAAGTAAAGATAATGAAGAGAAAGCGATAAAGGAAATAAATAACGACCATATCCATATTTTCACTAAGGTGAAAGTTACCAGAATTGTTCGTTACTTTGTATTATTGTGTAATTAAAGCCAACAAAATGGGTACCAACAATTTTGGAATATTGTGCTAAAAGCTTTAAGCCTGAGATTTCAAAAGTTTAAACAAAAATTCAATATCCTTTATTTGGAAATTTGATGCTCAGTTTTTATTTGAAAGTTATTGAATTCATTTTCACTTGAGAAAATTACTCAATCTCCGCTTCACTGACCGGGAAACTGAAAACCAAAAACTGTTGATTTACTCCCTCCCTGAAAGCTCTTAAAAGGCAGCTAGTGAGTGCTGTGTTTGAAACCACAGTGGGCTGCAAGGGCTGTTTTCTGCCTTTGTTGGAATGGAAACTGAAGGCATTTTGATTAATGGCTTTAAAGTCTGCGTCGTTTATTTTATTCTGATTTTAGAACCACATCTGGTATTATTTGCTAAAAATACTTATTGAAAGAATTAGATTTCTAAAAAATTGATTAAAAATCGATGACAGCCATTCAGATGTAAACACACACACGCACACACACACACACACACACGGAGGCATTTCAGAAAGATGGTAAAATAAAAATTCGGGACTTATTATTATGTCTTTATTCCTAAGTGTGAGACCTCAGAATAAATGTAAAGAAAAGTTGTGATTAGAGGTTGGGAGATGTAGACTAGACCATTGCTTTCAAAGAAGCAATTCCTACATCAAGTATCATAGAACCCGAAATAGACCACCTTTAGTAAAGCACAACTCAGGAGCCATTTGTAATGTTTGAATTTCCAAGCTGCTTGGGATGTAGTAGTGTAAGAGATAACACACTGCTGAATGTGGTTCTCTCTTTGTCCTCAGAGCATGGAACTACAGATGTGTGGTAACAAAACTGTGGCCTTGGGCTTCCCTGGTGGCGCAGTGGTTGAGAGTCCACCTGCCGATGCAGGGGACATGGGTTCGTGCCCCGGTCCGGGAAGATCCCACATGCCACGGAGAGGCTGGGCCCGTGAGCCATGGCCGCTGAGCCTGTGCGTCCGGAGCCTGTGCTCCTCAACGGGAGAGGCCACAGCAGTGAGAGGCCCGCGTACCGCAAAAAAAAAAAAAAAAAAAAAGATAGCAGCTACAATATTCTCTTAAGACTTTGTTCAAAGAGGTCACAAGTTCATGGAGTCAGAAAATCAAATATACTTTAAGATGCTAGAGACCTAGGGAGATAAATTATGAGACTTGCGTTACCACCTAACCTGAAGTTAGGGCTGGGTTCAGAACTCATGTCTACTAACACCAAGCCAGTGTTATTTCTAATGTGTTTACTTGTTTTATATTTGTAATGAGTTGTCATAAATGTCAAAATAAAGTCCTTCTGATTTATTGCAGTGTGATAAGAATAATGGTAGACGTGAACATGGCTTCCTGGGCAGGACCTGTTGGACCCATTTGTTAAGACACATTTGTTTTGGCTGCATCACTCATGTTTTGGTCCTTTATGTCCAGATACAAGTCCAAAATTTTCACTTACTGAATTACCTAAAACATCTTCAGATGGCCAGCGTCAGCCACCAAGACCAGTCCCGGAAACTTGAACCAATAACTAGAGAGCCATCAGGTCCTGGGAAACGTCTAACTCATTCTTTCTGTCCCATGATTTCTAAGTGCTATGCTAAATGCAAAGAACTGTAAAATGATTGCTTTTAAGAAAACTATCATTTAAAAATAGGAAGTAATGTAAAAAAATTAGTTTGTATATAACTCTTCAAATATCCTAATAGCATACCTTAGCTATTATTATAATTTATATTTATAGATTTATGTTATATATTATTATAATTTAGCTAGTATTATAATTTTTATTAACTATCTATATATACATACATCTTTTTGCATCTATACATGATTTATGTTTGTTTTACATATATTTACTTATATTCCACCCATCACCCCACCTAGACTGAACAACCGGTGAAAGCATAGATCATGCATTTTTCCTATTCTTCCCATTTTTCCAGGCCTTGTAACATCTTATAAGACAATGAGTGTCCAATAAATATTGTGTCCTCATTTAATGGCTAGGAAAAACTTTTCAAATGTGTAAAAGATCACTGCAGGGTCTGGTCTAGGCAGTGCTAGCTGAGCTTCCTCTAATGTGGACAAGAAGTAATATTAAGCGGGAGAACAGAACAATTAGGTGAAGTATTAGGAAATGCCTGTTAACGGTTTGGTCATTGAAACATCTCTATGAAAATAATTTCTATGAGAGAGAAAGCAAACATTTATCGATCACTTATGGCACATGGGGCTTGTTATGCATTTGATCTTATGAAATTCTCACAGAAAGGTTAGAAAGTCATTATCGCTAGCCCCATTTAACAAGTGAGGAAACTGGAGTTCAGAGGGACTACATAATTTGTACACGTTCGTCTCGCTAAAAAGTGGCTAGAATTCAAATGCTGGTCTTCGACTCTAAAGCCATTAATTACATTAGGCTGCCTCCAGTTTAGACGATGATATCATCCAATGATAGTTTTTGAAGGTAGCAGTTCTTGGTCTTGCAGGGTAGTTTTGAGAAAAAAAAACTTTTGGCTTGAAAAGTGTTTTTTTTTTAGTTTGTGAATGCATCCCAATTTTTCCTATGTTCCTCCATAATATCCCCAATGTTTCCAAAAGAAAGCTTAATGGCAGTGATTAATCTCTATAAAATGTCTTAATTTCACAAAGGACATTTTACTTTATTTTGACATTCACAAAGCACAATGTTTTCTGGGTCATGAACCTGTAGCACTAGACTGGTTTGCACAGAACATCTTCATAACGGTGAGCCATTGACCCTCCAGACACTAGCAACTAGCTCTTCCCTTTTCCTAAATGTTCCCTGAGGATTTTCCTCACCTGCATGTGTGTATTAAAGATAAACTCAGCTTTTTTTTTTAAAGAAGTTTGAGAAAAGACAAATTTCCTCACCTGCACACAAAAATCCTACTCTGCAATATTTCCCAAGATACCTGATTGGGAAGCTGTTAGCAAGTATGCTCTAGATGCTTGCTTGAAGCAAGCAAACTTGAAAGGGAGCAGAATCCAGGATACATGCGATACCCTCCCCCCACCCCAGTTTAAAGCACTTGACACATGCTACAATATGGATGGATCTTGAAAACATTACACTAAGTGAAATAAGCCAAGCACAAAGACAAATCCTGTTAAGATTATACTTATATGAAAACCTAGAATGGGCAAATTCATGGAGACAGAAGGTTGATGAGAGGTTACCAGGGGCTGGGGGCAGGGAAAATGGGGAGCTGGCTGAGTGGATACAGAGCTTCTGTTTGGCATGATGAAAAAGTTTGGGAAATGGACGGTGGTGATGGTTCCATGGCAATGTGAATGCATTTAATGCTATGAATTGTATCCTTAAAAATGGTTAGAATGGTAAATTTTATGCTATATATATTTAACCACAATTTAAAAATCATCAAAAAAAAGACAGCAATATATAAATGACTGTAGTACATGGCATATAAGCTACCAGGGACATAAAAATGAAGTACATAATGGTGCAAATGAGGGAGGGATAAATAATGAATAAAGAAATGGAACCACACACACAAAAGCACCCTGTTACCTTAGGAATCTGGTTTTGGAGGAGCATGATACACAGCATACTTCTCTCACACTAACACAGGAAGCCTTTGTTTTATCAGGGTTCTATGAAAATTCAGTGCCTTGTCTTCAGTTGACAAAGATCCAGGGCCAAATATATTGTAGACTTAGAGCTGGGGGTGGCAGGGCAGGGATGTGTTTAATTAGTAATGGCAGAAATTGCCCTGGGAGGTTGAGACAATAATCACCGGAAGCAAGTGGATTCATGGGGGGGGGGGGGGTCCTGACCACTCATTCCCAAGGTGCTTATGCCCCTGGCAAATACCACAGTTTCCACAACCCTTAAAATATGGCTTACTCTCTCAAAGCAGATGGACTGCTTCGTTTGTCTCTAAGGAAAATTTGGTTCAAAGTTTGTAATGCATATATTTTTTTCTTTCTAAGAGGAATTCTTCTCTTACCTCCCAGATCTTCTCCAGCTGTTCAAGGATGTTGGAAACCCCAGGAAACAAGGGTTGACCCTGGAACATTTCAATAAAGATGCAGCCTGCACCCCTAACAAAGAAATAAGAGTCAACCCAATGCTTTCAAGGAACCTATACATGCAAAACTGAACTACTAGCATTTCACCTCCCAAGAAATACTCTGAGGACAATTAGATAGGGACCACATAGTATGAAAAGTCTTGGCAGAAAAAGTCTCTATGTTAAACAAAAATAAAAACAGCCTGCAGCTTTTTGTTAAAATGGAATGCAACGGGCATTTAGGAACACAGTATAGAAAGCAAGCATTTGAGTTCATTCAAGCTCATTAACAATCTATTTTCTGAGAGGAGGGGAAAGTACTGAATCTCCAAACTGAATACCCTCTTTCACTGAAACTAAGATGCTATCATTGTAAGAAGCATCATTATTGTATGTACTTTTAAGAAACCAAAAGAAAAACAAACCTCACAAGTTAAACTGTGATGATCAGAATGTTTCCTACATATTCATTGAAAGGGCTGTTACAAATTTAATTAGACAGATTATCTCACCATATATCATACTTGTACATGCAAAAAAAATGGAATATTAAGTGGAAGAAATTGGTTTAGATACTCATCAAACTTTTTGACATTCAGCATTTGACTCAGACTCTTTGATGTCTGTGTTTATCCATGGTTTTGTCCTTTGACGGTATCGTCAGGAGTTTGATGATACAGCATTTCTTAGAATAAGCCATAAAACAACCAAGAGTCATTGGTGCTGGGGCTCCTAAGCTGACCTTGCAGTTACATGTTAGCCCACTTTTGACTCCAGCTTAAAGAATGTTGCTAAACATGTCTGATTCACGCCTTCTCCACAACCATTGTTCCTAGGGGTTAACAAGAAAAAAAAAAAAAGAGGTCTCCTGTCTTCCAAGTTACTGACACCCATTCTGCAAGTTTTGATGCTGCCATGTTTGATGTCCACACATGTACAATGGTAACTACAGTCATAACTGAAGCATGGCTGACGGCTACTGTAAGATGCTACTGATTTTAAGATGCATCCTGATTTAACAGAGAATGTGCAACTTAAAATAGATTAAATAGGGAGAAATATAAATTTTCTTTCCTACTTAGTCAAACTGGAGGATAATTCCTCAGGAAGAGTAAGAAGTAAGATTTATTTTGCTAATAATGCACATTTTTACTCTCACAAACCTTTATTTATTTATTTATTTTTGGCTGCGTTTGGTCTTTGTTGCTGCACGTTGGCTTTATCTAGTTGCAGCGAGCGGGGGCTACTCTTCGTTGTGGTGCACATGCTTCTCATTGAGGTGGCCTCTTTTGTTTCAGAGCACGGGCTCTAGGCATGGGGGCTTCAGTAGTTGTGGCACGTGGACTCAGTAGTTGTGGCTCGTGGGCTCTACAGCGCTGGCTCAGTAGTTGTGACGCACGAGCTTATCTGCTCCGCGGCACGTGGGATCTTCCCGGACCAGGTCTTGAACCCCTGTCCCCTGCCTTGGCAGGCAGATTCTTAACCACTGTGCCACCAGGGAAGTCTCAACTCTTACAAATCTTTTGAGAATGGTTCAGGTGACTGATTACAGAGATTATCCCCATGGTCTAATACTTCCCGAGTTTTGATGCCAAATCCCTTTCACCATAACACATAATCTCGCAAACTCCCTTAATCGTCTAGATGTTTTGCTGTGGCATGATAAAGAAGAAAATTTCAGTAAAACATTTTTTTTGTTTTTTTTGGCTGTGTTGGGTCTTCATTGCTGCGTGGGCTTTCTCTAATTGCGGTGAGCAGGGGCTACTCTTCGTTGCGGTGCGCGGGCTTCTCATTGCGGTGGCTTCTCTTATTGCAGAGCACGGGCTCTAGGCGCGTGGGCTTCAGTAGTTGTGGCACATGGGCTCAGTAGTTGCGGCTCGCGGGCTCTAGAGCGCAGGCTCAGTGGTTGTGGCGCACGGGCTTAGTTGCTCCGCGGCATGTGGGATCTTCCCAGACCAGGGCTCAAACCTGTGTGCCCTGCATTGGGAGGCGGATTCTTAACCACTGAGCCACCAGGGAAGCCCTCAGTAAAATATTTTATTATAGATCATGATATTATTAAAGATTTATTATGAAGTTCATTTTAAAATGGTCTTTAATATTATTCATATGTATTTATTACATATGACAAATTTTTACTTTTTCCATCTGACAGTAGACACATGCTATTTAACTTACTTTGTGTAGGAGAAAGCAGATTTCTTGATAAACAAGTTTAAGAATAATTTTTATCTTGTGTCTGGTTTGGGGAGAGAATATATATTAAAAGAAAGACTGACATTTAACTGTATCTTATCACCTCAAAAGACACAAAAACTATTTTCATGACCTAATATTTGGTTTGCATGTAAAATAATCAATTAGCTAATTCTTAGAATTTTGTATACATATAAATAAGAGGTATCAGACTAAGTTTTGCAGGTAGTTTTTTGTTTTTTTCCCTCAAACAACAGGTTGTCTTTATCCCTAGTTGTTAAAAAACTAATTTAGATTAAATGGCCACGATATTTTCTTTTTACTGATCTTTCATGTACAAGAGACATCTTGATATGTGACATAAGAATTTTGGGAATTCCCTGGAGGTCCAGTGGTTAGGACTCAGCGCTTCCACTGCTGGGGCCCGGCTTCAATCCCTGGTGGGGGAACTAAGATCCCATAAGCCAGCACGGCCAAAAAAAGAAAAAAGAAAAGAATTTTGATCAGGCAAATATAGCTTAAGAATCTGGTGCACAGTATCTTGAGGTGAATTTTTAGAATTATTATCATTTTAAGACTGCTTACTAGCTTGTTTTTAAATATCCGTGGTCTTTTTGCTTCTTGCCTTTAAAGCAACAGATATAAAAGGTAAAAATTAAACAATACATGGAGAATAATAAAAGTAATAGGAAACTGTCAAATGGTTAAAAAACATCCTGGTTGCTAGCAATGGTCAACAGTGAGATAAGCCAGCTGAAAAACTGAGCTGGTGAATACCGTCAAACAGTCTCCATCCACCTCCCCTCATGCCTTGTCTATGCATACTGGAAAGGTCTCAAATCATTTCATTTTGAAGCAAAACACACACACACACACACACACACACATATTTATGTATCTGTGTGTATGAAACACATGTAATTGTTTATTAACTGACACAAAATAGAAATGGAAATGTAACAGCTTTTGAAGACTTAAACCAACCCTCCATCCAGTACCCTAACACCTTCCAGAAACCCAGGGGCTCACAAATCACCAGAAGGCCTGCGGGCATTTTAAACAAGGTTCAAATCATAGTCATTGCTAGGTTTAAACCTGTAGTCCACTTTTTTCTCTCCCCTCAAAAGGCTTTCATGGCTTAGAAAAAGCTTGTTGCCTTTTTAATGTCCTTTCATACTGGTGGCTGTGGGGAGCCGAGAAGGAAGCCCCTTTTGTTACACAGTTTCTTAGTGCCCTTTACCTTCTGTACCACTAGGACAGTGTACACAACGGTGTAAACATATTGGAGAAAGCTGGACTTTAAGGCCATTGTTCAAGTACTGCAGTCTAACACAAGATATTTGCACTAAGAAATAAAATGCTAATATGTGGTTGAAATTCCCATTTGTATTTGCATTTGTACGTTTGGTGCCATATAGGCATTCTCTTGAGTCTTTCTTTTTAAGCTTCACTTAGGGGCAGGTTAAAACCTTTCTCACCTAACAATCTGGAGTCTAAGGTTTTATATATATATATATATATATATATATATATATATATATAGTGTGTGTGTGTGTGTGTGTACACATGTGCAATGCACTTAGAACACTTACAAGACAAACAAAATTCCTAAATCAATTGTATTTCAGGACCTAGAATATCCGTACCATAAATATCAGTGCACTGGTAAGAAAACAAGGCTGTACACCTTAAGTCTGAGAAGGAAAGGTATTTTTCAGGTAAGCACTGTTCTTCAAAAACTATATGATTCATCTTCCTATTTTTTTCATTTATTCTTCAAAACTGTTTTTTTTCATCTGCTTTGTAAACAAGTAGTGTGGCTTTCATATTTTTTATTTGCTTCTTAAACAAGTTGTGTGGCTATCATCTATTTTGCCCACCCCAGACTAGCCTTAAAGCAAACATTTTAAATAATCTGAACATTCAGGTCTAGATAGGGAACCAGTTCCTATTTCCTTTTATTCCTCTGTTTTGTTCTTAAATCTTCATTCCTGTGGCTCTTCTTACTCTACATATCTTTAGGCTTCTCAGAGGATTTCTGCTCTGTGGAGATACCCTTGGGGCAGCTCATGTAGATGAAGCGGAACTTCACATGCAGGAGAAAAAAAGACCTGGTGATATCAAAGAGTGAACCCTTCCAGAAGGGAGAGATGCAATGGGTCATTTTATTGCTCCAACTGTGGTTCTCCAGTCAAGTTAGACGAGACAGCTTACATATTTTCTGCTTTTTCTGGCTCTCTTCCTAGTCTTTTCTCTATTCTGAGCATGAACAAATTCTTCCATAAGAAAGAAAAAGATTCCTCAAATTCCTTAGGCAATCTCTGGAGAAATAAACCATCTCAGGAGTTTTAGGTTTGGGGAGGTGCAAGGAGTACATAAGAACATTGTTGGGAGAAGTGAATCAGTATTTCATTTTTCACTATTGACATTAATTCAGAACAGCATGATATATGGCAGTGACACGATATTTCCATTTGCTTTCCCTGGGCCACTCTTTATATTTGGAAGTTTGCAGCAAGAAATCTGACCATAAAGAATCTCTCAGGCAGTGACAACTTTCCATAGTCCTAAATCCAGCAGCTGCCTGCAGTTAGTTTTGAATAGAGGACTTGTCTACCAAAATAAACCCTTCTTTAAAACCCAGTTTACATGGTTCTGAAGAACCTAGGGTCAGGACAGGAATAAAGACACAGATGTAGAGAATGGACTTGAGGACACGGGGAGGGGGAAGGGTAAACTGGGATGAAGTGAGAGAGTGGCATGGACATATATACTACCAAATGTAAAACAGATAGCTAGTGGGAAGCAGCCGTATAGCACAGGGAGATCAGCTCA